ATAAATTAATTTTTTAAAAAAAGAATTTTAAGACAGGTAGGGTGGAGCAAGGGCAGGGCCTTTCTGATCACAGGACCCTGTGTCAACGTAAAGGTCCCTGGTCCACGAAGCCAGCCCTGCTGACTGGAGTATGTCAGATTTCAAGTGCCAGCTACCCTGAGATTTGAGCAAACTGAATCCCACTGGGGAAACACTTCTGCAGAAGTTGAAAAGGTTCATGGGCACCACTGGTGCCCAGTGATTCCCGGTGGCCATGGACACAGCAGAGACAGCTGTATCTGCTGCGTGGCCAGCAATAACACCTAGTACCCGAGGCCCTAAGAAGCCAAATTCCTCATACAAGAAGTTATAGAGCACAGTGTTCATCCCCAGAGGAAAATCCAAATTGCTTGATTCGGTGCCACAGTTGCACAAAGGGGAATTCCGCATTGGCTGTCGGAAGATCAGCCCTTCCGCTGTGGTTTGCAGTGTCTCACAGCCACCATCCTTGGAAGGGCACCCAATCCAGTTTGCACAACCTCTACTTGGTTTGGCCTGGGGGTTTACTCTGACTCGGGCTCCTCTGATGCAGGTCCTCTCAAATGCCTGACCCATCACACCTTTCTGAAGTACCCCAGACACCAGGCCAAAGCCAGAGGAGCCCAGAGGAGGACACCGCCCTCCGTCCCTTCTCCCAGGCCCCCACCCAGCCACACTTCCTGCATGTGATGTCCAGGGGGTCTGTTGTAGCAAAAGCCCTAAGAAAGCCAAGAAGCTAAGAAGGTTATTCAAGGGAATACTAGAAATTTCAAGCTAGCAAAACTATTTTATACACTAAATGTCCTGGATAAGAAGAAATGAAACTCCCATTATCAGGCCTTGAAAAACAACTACTAATGGCACAAGAAGCAGAGCCCCCAAAGAATTCTGAGTCAGCACAGCTGCCACCCTTCCCAGGTGGACACAGCCCCACAGCCCTCACCTGCACCGCTGACCTGCCCACTCCCAGCACTGACCCCATTGCTGGGCAAGTGGGCAAAACCCAGAGTCCGGCAAGCCTGACTTCCTTAGCCCTCACTTTGCAGCTCCAGTGCCACCCCACAGGGCTCCCAGCCTGCTACCCACCCTGGGGCCCAAGATGCAGAGCTGCAGCAAGACTCAAGACAGCTGCACCAAGAGAGCTGCCATGCTGCCAAGCGTGAAGGTGGATTTCTGACAAGATCTTGTGCACTAAAGATACAGTCCTCTAAAACCTATTCCTACTGTCCAGACACGCATGCTCGCACATGCATGAACACACACACACACACACACACACACACACACACACATGCACACAGACACATTTTAGCAGCTAAAATCGTAAAACTTACTAAGAGGAGCCTCCCAAAGATTATTAGGATTTCCAGGCTGATGTACATTTGGACTCAGACCTCACCACCTCCTTTCTCTGTAACATCATGGAAGGAAGCCTAAAGCAACCAGAAGGAAGAAAACACAGGTGCTGGATGACTTATGAGGATGACATCGGTCCTAGACTGCCAGCTTCCAGACTTCTCTTCCTTTTCCCTTTAAAAAAAATAAATTGATTGATTGATTAACTAATTATTTGGTACAGGGTCTTTCCACACAACTCGGACTCTGGTGATCCTCCTGTCTCAGCCTCCCCAGTGCTGGGATTACAGGTATGTGCCACCATGCGCAGTTTTAGTGGCTGGCATGGTGCCGAGCCAGCATGGCATGAGATACCAGGGATCAAACCTGGGTCCTTGTGCTTGCCAGGCAGATGCTTAGACCACTAAGCTATCTCCTCAGCCCCCCTTTCTCCTTTTTAATGCCATGCTTAGAAATGTTTTCTTTCATTTGAAGCTGAGTCAGATAACAGGGAATGTTTTGGAATAAAGTCAAAAGAAGAGCTTCCTCCCTCATAACCTTCTCCTGATGTCTCAATGTTTCCACTGGAAAGTTTCATTAATGTGTAATTTGATAAGCATTTAGAAGATACTTGTTAGGCATCTGGACTGAGGCCAAGTGGACTCAAGCCATTTGCTCTCAAGGAATTCACAGTCTGCTGAGCAGTGACTGGGTCCTCTTGCGCTCACAGGCACACATGGCAGCAGGCGAGCACCTCATCCGGCCACCCACGGTGCCTGTCCTCCACTTCCTTCCCTGCACAGCACCGCCCTTCTCCTGACACCCAAGCTCAGACCCCTCAGGTGTTATTATTGGCACACGTGTCTCTCGGATTTGGCCACAGGCCTAGGACTTCTCCCAGTGCATCCCAGAGAACTTTCTAGATGAACAGATTTGCTCACGGTCTTAAGATACAGCTGTTGTCTGTGTCAGCGCACAGCCTCAGAATGCACAAGTCACCTTGCTATTGTTTTATAAAAGCATGCGGTCTTCACTTTTCTCAAGTACGTGTACCTATCTCTTGGGGTCAATACTAGGAGATATGTGATAGGGGAGAGTGTTCTCCACTGGTTAAATAAAAAATCGCATCAAGAAATTTTCCCGGGGATATCTCTGACCATTTAGGGTATAAAATTCTAAGATGATGATAGACAAAGAGTTCAAGTCAGTGGGAGAAAGGATGAACTACTAAAAAATGGTTGAAGAGAACTGTCTGGATAAATGGCCAGAGATAATCGCATGACAAATTAAGAAGTCAGGTCCTAAACTAACACTATCTAATGGGTTGTGAATTAAAGAAATATAGAAATTGCTTCTACCTGCTCCCTTCTCCCTCCCATTGCATGTGCTTACATATATACCCCAAATTATAAGAAGGAAATGTAAGACATGCTGCTTGTCTCCCTGCCCTCTCTCTGCTCCTCTGAGTGTTTGCCTGTGCCCAGCACCAGCCCCCATGATGGTCCAGTCTACAGCCCTCATCCAAACTCACAGAACACTATGTTAGGCAAATCCCAAATATAGCCGGCACCTCCTGTAGGTCAGACTCAGCACTGGCTTCCAGGTTCTCAAGGATTAATCAAGCAACATGCTACTCAGGGAGCTTGTAGCTGGTTGGGCAAGAGGAGGAGTTCACGTGAATGACAGTGGAGTAGGGCTGTAGGGTGTAGGGTGAGCACAGGGCATCATAGGGAACCCGTGGAGGGGACCCACCTGCCTGGATCAGGCAGGCAGGACCTCACAGCCTTGCCTGGGATTCAAAGCTCAACCAGATGATCTGTAGCGCCTCTCTGAGCACCAGCTCTTGCTGCTGGGCACAACTGGTACAGCCCAGGAAAGCCAGGAGTCAAGGGGGGAAAGAAAGCTAGAAGGAGTGGGAGGACTTCCAGCCCTGGGGGTATCTCTGGTTGCTGGTTGCAGAATTTGGCCCAGCAAGAACCTGGCAGGAGCAGCAACTCTGCTCTAGCTCCACTCCAGTCTCTGAACTGCTCTTTTCCCCTTGAGGCTGAAAGCACTTGGAGGGGAGGCCACGGCCCAGCTCCGGATCCACAAGCCAGCACAGCAGGTGAGTTCACAGACGAGCCCAGAACCTCACCCAGGACTTCGCTCCCCTGCCTTGCTCTGGCACAGCAGTCTCCTCCAGTGGCAGCAGAGGTGCTCAGCAGCGCCATGCAGGAAGGTGAGAAGACCACAGACGCTGTGAGCTGCCCTCCACCTGAGTCCTCTTGCTACTTAAGCACAGAGCGCCCCAGCAAGCAAGAGCACAGGAACCATCGCCCCCTTGGCCAGATGGAAGCCAGATGTAGGGAAGACAAGGGAATTTCCCCACACACCAAGTGGCCAATCCAGGCAAAGCCACAGTGACTAAGCTGGGTGCCAGGAGAAGCCCCTGTGGTGGCAGCAGGAACGGAGGAGCGCTGGGCACAAAGAACCCCAGACACTTTATCAGGATGTGCACGAGCCTGCGCTCACAGTCCCGGTGTTCACTAACTGAGGTAGAGTGACATTCCTCCACCCGGCTCCTCCTGGAGGGCCCCGCCCCACACATGCACATGTGCAGACCCAAGGCTGCATTTCAAAGGCTTCTTTGGGAAGAGGACAGGGACAAAGAAAAGGCCCTTCCATCTAGCCTTCGGGGAATTCTGGCTGGATTTCCTTGTTATTTCTATTTCATCCTCCTCACTCTCAAGATGTAGGCTCCATCCATAGAAGGTGAAGAAACCCCAAGTCCCATTTCATCCACCCATGGGGACTGTGTAGAGCAAGGCACTGCTCCCCCTCTGCAGTCAGGTGACATAACACCTCTGAGCCCAGTTGACTCACTACAAAGTGCAGTTGCTACTTCCCAAGGGCCCAGGTTGGGACAGCAGAGAAAGAAAAACCTGAACCTGGGACCTACAATGAGATCAGAGCCCTAGAAAGAGCTTGAGCCCATCTTTGACCCTTTTTGTTCTGTAGAGAGCCAGTCTCTTCAGGGAACAGTCCTAAAACATAAAATAAAAAAACTGGAAGGGAGCCTTGAGGATTTTTAACCTATCCACCCTCTACTTCATCTTGAGGAAACTGAGTCCCAGAGAACTAGGGTGACTTTCCAGGTCAGCAAGGAGAAGTCTCGGGTATCCAACACAGGTCTGGGGAGACCTAATGATTTCTCAATCCTTGTACATTCTGGTATAGCCAGTTTGTCCACGTCACTGTGACCTAGGAGCACGCGAATGGAACTTAACAGTTGTGAGTCTCTGCGCACAGACAGCTGTTCTCCCCAGGAAATCAACTTTTTTTTTAATTGAGAAGCTGAAAAAATTATTTTAAAAAATAGAGGTATAGCCCATTCTAAAAATAGCTATGATAATGCAGAAGTTCATTTTTTTTTAGTCCTTTTGCTTATGATGCAAAAAAATTTTAAAATTTAAGTTCAACGAATGCAAAATTGGAGAGGGAGGTCTAGGGAAGGGAGGGGCTTGAGTCAAAAAAAAAAAAAACCTTGCCAGGAAATCTGAGTCTGTGGCTTCATCAATGGGGAGGCCTCACTGAGCTACATATAAAAGGGGGACACAAGAAGGACAGTCTATACATCAGGGGCTTGCTCTTGCAAAACCAAACCACAAGCCAGGCTCACAGAAGAAGGCAGAGCTCCGTCATGCCCAGCTCAGTGCTGCTATGTTGCCTGGTCTTACTGGCTGGACTCCCGGCCGGCCGAGGCACAGACACGCAGCCTGAGAACAGCTGTGTCCACTTCCCAGCTGGCCTGCCCCACATGCTCCGAGAGCTCCGAACTGCCTTTGGCATGGTGAAGACTTTCTTTGTGAGTATCATGCCCTCCTGCCCTTGCTTCCTTTCCAGGACTGCCTGAACTAGGCATTCTGCTCAGCTGTAAGAATTCTGTTCTTCCCCTCCCTCCTCTTCCTCCTCTTCTTCCTCCTTTCTCTACAATCCCTAGCACTCATTCTCTTCAGATTTAAATTCTTAAGAGAGGTCCAGATTAAGATACAAGCTTAGTGAATTAAGCTAAACTGAAATTATGCAGCAAACGTGTAGGAAAAGCTGCCTACAAGGTAAACGCACTGTCTTGCCTACGCTCAGAAACTTTCTATAAGCTTCCTTAGAGCTTGGTACTTTATTGGCTGAGAGAAATGAAGACAGGTCTGATTGGAGGGGAAGACACTCCAGCTTATCCTGTGGTAGGAAAACATGCATTGCTTTTCTTGGAGTCTCCAGACCAGAAATAGTGAAGTTTAGGGAAGCACCATGCACAGGGAAAACTGGCTGTGTGCAGAGCTTCCATCCCTAGAACACTCTTAGTGCTGCAGCTGGAGGGCCACAGAGGGTGAAAAGCAAAGCAGAGAGCAGGCCGTGAAAGGGGCTGAAGGACTGGGGAACTGGCATGGCTCTGCAGGAAGAGGGCCGGACTGAGTCAGGCTTCTGCCTTCCCATCCAAATTGGTCAGATTTCTTAAATAACTTGGTCTCAAGCAGGCTGTGGCACATCACATCCTCTTACAACTCTCTTTTCAACTCCTGGGCCAGGGCAACATGGATTACAAATTAAAAAGTAGACATAAAAGGGCATCAGAAACGTGAAGGTTCCGGGATTTCCCCCAAGCCTCCAGTTCACTTGCCTTTTGTTCTTGCAGCAAAAGCAGGATCAGCTGGACAACATGCTGTTAAACGAGTCTTTGCTGGAGGACTTTAAGGTGAGACCGGGTAGTGCGTGCAGAAATGCACAATGTGACTATGGAAGGGAGGCCGCTTCTGACGGCAGGGAGCTGGGTCTGCTTCCTTTGCCTTGAAAAAGGAGAAGTGGGAATGGGAAGACCTTAACTCAGCACACCGCCCACAGCCAGGACTTACAGAAGACTCAGTCCTGGGAGAGGCAGCTGGCTAAGAAGGGTCCCTAGAGACAAGGCTGTCCTCTGCTGCTGCAGCAGCTCTTTCTCACCATCGCTGCCTTTGGCTCCTGTCCTCAGGGTTACCTGGGTTGCCAAGCCTTGTCAGAGATGATCCAGTTTTACCTGGTAGAGGTGATGCCCAAGGCAGAGAACCACGACCCAGACATCAAGGAGCATGTGAACTCTCTGGGGGAGAAGCTGAAGACCCTCAGGCTTCGGCTGAGACGCTGTGTGAGTAGCAGACCAGGCTTTTCCCTTGCTGTCCCCAACAGCCCATCTCCCATGCCCAGCAGGACCAGGCACAGCCAGACACACACTCAGCCTGAGGCTGTCAGGGCTGGCTGTGAATTTAGAAGGGAGTCAGATCTCTTGCTCATTTCTCTCTCAGCACGGGTGGGGGTGGCTGCTAGGCATTTACATGTGAAGATTTGCACACAGCTTTCCTGTTATTTGTGAGTCATTTGTGGGTTATTAACTACTTACCTCTCTCTTTGTGAAAGGGGCCCAGAGGGCTCTCACTTCTGGACCCAGGTGCTGGGCCAGGAACAGAGGCTCCCAGGCAAAAGAGGGGACACCACTCCCCTCTTCTTGCTTTTTGGAAAATGACACCTAAGGGAGAACAGCCCTAACATGATTATCCCGGAGTTCTCAAAAGGGCCAGGGACTCCTATACCCAAGGTGTGTCCCTGAACAATTGCCTCCAGATGATTCACTTCTCCATCTGAAGTGATGCTTCACCACTTATGGGTTGCTTCTGTTCTCACTGATACTGAAAAGTCAGCGGATGTCTGCTGCTAGAAGAGCGCTATGCCTAAGCCTTGCCCCGCTAGCTGCAACTGCATCTCCATTTCCCAGATGCTTAAAAATGGTCTTGGAGATTAAGGGAGAGAAGAGTCAAAGAGGCAGGGAAAGGAAAACAGGGATTCCAGGAGGGGAAGACAAGAGCTGGGTGCTCATCCAAGCCTTACCAGCTCCCTGAGTGGCTCCCAGAGAAAGACAATTTGTGGCTCCCAGAGAAAGACAATTTGTGTCTGCCTATTTCCTCTCTGTCATCTGGGTAGTGATGAGGATCTGACTAGCCTGGGTTGTCTCTGGGGTGGGCGGGGGGGGAAGGAGTAGGCATTCTGGATGAATCTGGCCCTACTTCATGCTTGAGAACCAGCAGCCAGGGTCACTAATGGTCTCTTTTCTTGTGCAGCATCGATTTCTTCCCTGTGAAAATAAGAGCCAGGCAGTGGAGCAGGTGAAGAGTGCATTTAGTAAGGTAAGCGTGGATGTCTGCGGAGCCTCAGCCTACTCCCCAAAGGCAGAGGGTGACAGGTGCTCAGCAGCCCTGCACTGCCCTGAGAGAGTGTGGGAATCTAAGACATGGTGTGACCCTCTTGTCCAATGAGGAGCTGCTGTCTCAGGTCTGCTTGCTTTCTGCAAAGTATCTTTGGGGTTTCTAAATGACTGCTCCTCGCCTGTGCAGGCTTTCAGCTTGACCAGCTAGCCAACCCAAGAACACAGTAAGCCAGGCACTGGGGAGAGTGACAAGGGAAACAGAAAGTACAGAAAGTGCTTGCTAGGAGTCCAGGCTGAACCCACACGTGCAGGAAGCTGACGCATGCATGTGCACACACAGGCCTGTCTGGGGTTCAGTCTGGACTCCCCCAAACTCAGAATAAGCAGGACACAGAATTCTCACTTATCTAGAGTCAATTCAGGCTCACTTTCCATCTGCCCCTCAGGTTTCCAGAGGTGCCTGAGAATACCAACTCCCAAAGCAAATGAGGTTTCACACTTCCAATTGCCTAAGAACCACTTTTACCTAATTTCCCAAAAGCCATGTGGCTTATGTCCCTTTCATGGGTCAGGGACAGACACTGACTGGGCAGGCTCCAACACCATGGGGCAGCAATCTCCTAACAGTGGGCCAGCGTGGCAGGGCAGGGTCTGCTCAGACTGTTGGGGAAGCATAAACAGAGAAAAGTCTCCCTGTCCTGCTTTCAAATTGCTTCCTCCAATATCTTTTCATCAAATTCTGCATAAGCACCAAGCGAGCACATGACCTTTAAAAATGCTGAAACGGCACATTTAGAAAGTGATAGCATACAGACTCAACGCTCCTCTGCCTTCTACCCACTGGCTCTGCTTAAAGCTCGGGAAGCTGAAGGTCAAGGAACACCCTTTGGTGTATCCTTGGCTTCCCACCATTTGCTTCCCAGTGTCAGGAAGCCAGAACAGTCCCTTGGTCCTCTGCTAGAGTTCCAACGACCACATGTTTATTTCCCTCCACAGCTCCAAGAAAAAGGTGTCTACAAAGCCATGAGTGAGTTTGACATCTTCATCAACTATATAGAAGCCTACATGACACTGAAAATAACAAACTAAAACATCTAGGATGGCAACTCTACTGGACTCTCAGTCATAACATGGAGATCTCCAAAATCTGATCCAGGATTCTGAGCCACCAGAACTAGCTCCTTGGAAAACCCCAATTGTACCTCTCTCCTAGAATATTTATTGCCCATTCCTATTTATTTACTGAGCTTCTCTGTGAAGTATTTAGAAAGAAGCCCAATATTATAACTTTTTCAGTATTTATTATTTTTCACCTGTTTTAAGCTGTTTCCATAGGGTAATACACTATGGTACCTCTGTGTTGTAAGAGAACTTTTAATTTATATAAGGGAAAAAAATGTTCCTTGGGGAGCCAACTAGTGCTTCCACTCCGAGCAGGACCACACTTTCTAGCTGGTGAGCTGTTCTTCATGGCCTCCCTCTGGTTTCTCTTCTGCCTGGCCGTGGAGCTCCTAGAGTACAACAGACTATCTCCCTCTTAGGAAGAGAAACCAGAGTGCTCCTTTGATGATTAACTTTCCAGTAGCTTCAAGAGATTCCCCTGACCTCACCCTCCAACTACTTCATTCTTGAAAGCTGTGGCTTGAGTGTTATTTATAACAGCCTAAAGTTGGTTCTAATAGAACTCAGTTTTAACGAGAAGTAATTCAATTCCTCTGGGAATGTTACATTATTTGTCTGTCTTCATAGCAGATTATAATTTTGAAAAAAAAATAAATGGACTTTTACTCAAATCATGCTGTGTGTCATTTGATTCCCATATGGCTACCTGTCCCCTCAAAGTTTTCAGGAGACAGAGGATATGGGGAAATGTATTCTTCATTCCAGAGAAAGGAGGCCAAAGCCTCTTCAGGAGGCAGAGGAGTCTTCAAACCTTACCAGGATTCTTATTTTCAAAGCCAACAGCAAACATTACCTTGTTTTTCCTACAACTCCATCCTTTAAGACATGACCCTAATTTCTGAAAGATGATGATAATTTTTTTGTCTAGGCAGCTAAATTGCCCAGGATGGGCTCAAATGGGTGACCCTTCTGCCTCAACCTCTCAGAGTTCTGGGACTGTGAGTGTGCACCCCTACTCCTGGCTGATCATGTTGGTTTTTAAGGTTACAAAAGGTGATTCTGTACATATGAAAATCAGAAAGCTAGCGAAGGGTCATGTTTTAGTGTTTGCTTGTTTGAAGGGTTACTTGTTTGTTCTGGTTTTGGTTTTGCTTCTTCAAGCTCAAAAGATCCAGAGCATGAATGTGGGATTGTCTGGGTTATCCTGATAATTAAGAGAAAGGATGGCTTCCAGCACTAGGCAAAGGGCTCACTGAACAAAGATAGCTGCTACTGGTAATCACAACCGAAATACCCTACCAAGTCTTCTTTGCGCTGAGAGCAGAGGCAACAGGGCTAGATCCAAGAGAATAGGATACAGACAAATTGGTGCATTCAATAGGATACTTAAAGACTCAAGCAGCCACTCTTTTTGTCCCCTCCCTGAGCCACCAGACAAATAAGACTGGCTTCTGACTGCGGTCTGATGAGGGGAGCCTGGTGGCTGGGGAAGCCCTACACAGAGCCCCATGACTTGGAGAGGAAAGGGGAAGGGATGGGCTGAGTAAACACCAATCCCTCTCACACTGCACCCAAGCAGCAGTGGCCTGGAGCAAGTGGGAGCTGACTGCTTGTGGTCATTTTTTCAGTAAAACCTGACTCACTTCGATTAAAGTAACCATAGGAAGGAAGTGGGAAGCATCAAAGCTGAAATTCTTAGATGAAAGGTTAAGGTTAAGAATGGAGACTTAATTCAGAAGATAAGGAGGAGGGGACGGAAGCTCTCGGTCTTCACCTAACTAAAGAGGTTATGAGTCCCTCAGCCCGGAAGGCTTGCTGCCAGGCAATGCACACTACTGCCGTGGGAAGGCAGTGACTCCCTCAAGGGACGTGGGCATCTCGAACAGAAACACATCTGGAAAATCTACACAGTCAGTGCTAGCAACAGCTGAGATTGTTGGTATATGTTCATTGGTAGGCACTCACTGCATATATGTTTATCAGGCATAGTATATGCTATTATTCTTGCTATTTTCTACAATAGGATTTTTTTTAGTAAGTTCTGAAACATGAGAGTGTTCTTCAGGATTACTTTTGTTTTACTGGGTTCAGCGATCTAGCATTCTATAAATCAGCTTGAAGTTCAAGTTTTCGAACTACTATATGAATCCAGCTCTTCAAACCCCATGAACTGATCACAGGTTAATATCAAGGAATACCTCAGTTACATAATACTTATCAACCATTTCTATGCATCATTGTGTCGGGGCCATTCTATACAGTTTGGGGGGGTCATCACATGACTAAATTGTGACTGGGGCTTGTATCTTGCCATGGGAGGTGGCTATGATATGTAGAAACATAACTGTGTGTCACTGGTCACAGCTGAGATCTCCGATCCATGATGCTGTGACACCCCAGGCAAGACTACATCAGTTGATGACATCCTGGTTCCTTGCAAAGGGAGTAGTGATTAAAAAAAAAAAAGGACTTCACATTGAGGACAGGACAAACTCCTTGATCACCTGCTGTCTCTCCACCATCCTCATCAAGATAGAGACCCTTGTCAGCATAAGACTACCACTGCCCCGACTCATCCAATAATCTCCTCACTGCTTTCCTCAATCACTAAATGTGAGGTTCTGGCTGCCTTGGGGCCTTTTGTTTTCTGTGAACTGGTCAACCCAGCTCCCTATTGCACCACTATTTTGTCTCTTGCACTTTCTCTTCGCTATGTGTGCAGTAACACCTGGAATGAGCCTGGGGCCTGCTGCAGGGGGTCTCTAATATCAATGTTTCAGTACAGTGAGATTTATGTTAACAATAACATGAATATTAATTAAAATTACTTGCCAGCTACCTTACTAAGTCCTTGGTATATATTAGCTCATTTATTATAATGTAGAATAAAGTTATGTTAATTATGAATATCTCAATACAATGAAAATAAGTTACATAATTTACCTTTGACCAGCTAGTAAATGGCGGAGTTCCTGACCCTAATGATTATACTAAACTCCTATGCATCTCAATTACTGCATCATCTTTTCTAATATTTTTCTGTAATATCCGATTAAAAGTTAAGACCTAGCTCTGGGTCATGGTGACACATGCCTGAAGTTCCAGGTACTGAGGTTGAAGCACAAAGATCTCTTGAGCTCATGAGTTTTGACCAGTCTCAGCAATGCAGTGAGACTGTCTCAGTTTACAAAAAAAAGAAAGAAAAAAGGTGAGATGTGGATTGTAGTGGGTGGCCTGTCCACTGTCTTTGTTTTACTTTGTTTGTATGTCTACTTCTATTTGCCTCATGATATTTGCTTTCATTTCTCTCAAATTCTTCAACCTGTTAGATTTTTAGAAGCACAAAAAGCATTGCTATAGCTTGGTCATATGGATACACAGAAGATGGAGTACTGAGTATAGCACCGGACCCTTTTCCCCTTTTGAATTAACTATCTAGTGCTGACCCCTAAATTTAGCTGTTGAAAATAGCAAACTTGCTATCTAACAATTTCTGCAGGTCTGCAAGCTGAGCACAATCATAAGGTTCTCCTGGTCTCCAGTGGAGCTGCAGTAAAAATGACAGCCAGAGCTGAGCTCACTTGAGGCAGGACTGGGCTGAGTGGTCAAGGCCAAGTGGCCACCACAGGGCTGCTGGCAGGACCCCTCAGTTCCACAGTGGACACTGTCAGGTGGCCTTGGCTTTTCTCCACAAGGCACCTTGAGTGACCTGATAGCACAGAACTCTGTGCCACAGTCATTACTACATAAAAGAATAAGGAGGCATCTACAACATCTTATTTATTATTTATTTATTTATTTATTTATTTATTTATTTATTTTATACCAAGAATTGAATGCAGGACCATGTGCTTGCCAGGCAGGCACCATGCCACTGAGCTACATTCCTGGCCCTACGTATTTTGTGAAATCTCACATCCTTGACCTCCTCTTTCAGAAGAACAAAACAGCTCGGCTTGCAGACCTATGCCACTTCAGAGATTTATCAAAGAGCATTTATAACAACCTCTCCAGAATCTGGAATCAAAATACAATGTAAAAAATTAACTCAATAGACAGAAAAAGGAGTAGATCTCCAGGAGCTGGGAGACAGCTGACGAGAAGTCAAGAAACCACAGAGAAGCGAGATGAGCAGAACATAAGGCAGAGGAAAGAACAAATCAGTCTGGAAAACTCACTCTGGCTCCTAGGGAAAGGGATGGGTCTCTGCTAATACAACGTAAGTCCAAATAACGTTGACAGCTCCAGAAAGAAACAGGGGGCCAGGAAAAGTCCACAGCTATTATAAACTGCAAAAAGAGCATAGGATGTTATATATGGCTTGATTTCTAAACTTCTGTGTAAAAATATGTAATTGTTTTTTGTTTTTTTCACATTCTATAGGAATTTAAAGATTAGAATATCCATGGTTGTTGGAAAATACCAGTTCCATGTTATATCTAAGGTATTCAGACAGATAGTGATGTTAAGTTCAACTGCCTGTGTTACAGGATAATAATATCATTAAGCTTCTCTTCTGGATGGTTAACAACTAAAGTTTGCAGAAAATTAAAGAAGGGCTGCAAGGATAGCTAACATTTTGACCCTAGCCTTTCAAGGTCAGTGAGGACTCAGGACATAAGAGAACCTCTGCTGTGACATCCTATAACTCAGTGGTGTCCCAAATTTTGTGTTCAAGGAGATTATGTGGCCACAGAGGAAAGTGATGGACAATGTAGAGTGTGCTTAAGGAGAGTCATCTAGAGAGAAAAAAAATCTCTCAGGCTTTCACAGAGAGCAAATTAGTCAAGTAATGGCTTGACTCATCCAAAGGGCTGACATCAACAAAAGATCTATAAGCTGCTCTCCATGGTTTCAGGGTAAATCCTGAGGGGATTTGACTGATCTTGTCAGATACAAAAGTTACATGTTTAGTTATGTAGGTCTTGCTTTAATTTGGTCTTAATCATCCAGCAGAAAAATATAACCATGAGGTAGAAAAGGTATTGCCAGTTTTAAATGCTGAGCTGTAAAATGCTCAAGTCAACAACTTCTGACAATTGCCAGTTCTGATAACCCACAATTATTATGGACTATTGGACTATGTTGGGATATTTTGCTGAATTCACGTAGCTACAATGTTTGAACTGGCATCAAGTATGAAAAGATCCTTTAAAGACTTCTTCAAATACAGCTTCTCTAACGGCAATGGAACACCCTTCTCTGACAAAACAAAACAAAAAATGGGGATATAAATGAAAGGCCATTTTGTAGTGAAAATATATATATGTGTGTGCGTGCGTGTGTGTGTGTGTGTGTGTGTGTGTGTGTATACAAAATAGGATAGATATACAGCTACTTCCTCTTAGTTCAATAACAAGAAAGGTCTGTACTAAAATTGTCTAGACAAGATATCATGTCTGCATCTGGTCCTCTGAATATCTACTACAAAGACAACAATATGTAATGTACTGATTATTGTAACTGTCCTACTAACCTATTTTGAAACTGTCTCATTGTTATTTCTTTCTTATTAAAATTAATTTTAAAAAATTTAAAAGGGGGGGCATGGGATTTCACTCCCAAAGTGACTCATTTCACAGCTAGGCTAGAGTTGGAAAAGGAATCCAATGCAGCTCTGGCCATATTT